GACCTATATAGTCATGTTTGATAATTTAACAATATGTCGCACCTATTTATTATCGCAACTGATCAAATTTTCATCAATAAGATCTGCTGCTCATTAAGAGCCACACTATAAAGCTAGATGTTGCAAAATAAAAAAAGTTATGCAGTCTCACACACATTAAAGTTTAGTATGTTATGTACATTTTTAGTTGTTTCGCATCTTTTCTAGTATTTACAGGTACTTGGTCCATCAGACCTAGTAACTATTCTACTTAGGGCCCCGTATCGGAGATACGGGTGCCCTATAGTAATCACTCTGTCTGTCTGTCTGTCTGTCCACAAATTTTGTTCCTGGCTGATAACTTTGGTATTTATTGACCGATGTACATGAAACTTGGTCAAGATGTTTAGTTCACAAAAATACACATTGAGGTAAAAAGTCAAGGTGAAAGGTCAAGGTCATTAGGTTCAAAGGTCAAGGTCAAATTTAACATCTTTTCACTGATGAACAATTTGTCGTGACATTATGAAGCAAAGTTGATCAGAATTAAACAAGGAGTCAACTGACCAAAGGTCAAGGTCATCGGGTCAGGGGTCAAGGTCAAATTTTGTAGCTTTTCACTGGTGAACATTTCGCTATGACATTATGAAGCAAAGTTGTTCGGAATTAAACAAAGAGACACACTGAGGTAAAAAGTCGAGGTCAAAGGTCAAGGTCATTAGATTCAAAGGTCAAGGTCAAATTTTGCATCTTTTCACTGATGAACATTTTGTTATGACATGATGAAGCAAAGTTGATCAGAATTAAACAAGGAGTCAACTGACCAAAGGTCAAGGTCATTGGGTCAAAGGTCAAGGTTAAATTTTGTATCTTTTCACTGGTGAACATTTCGCTATGACACTTTGAAGCAATGTAGCTCAGATTAAACAAGGAGTCAATTGACCAAAGGTCAAGGTCACTGGGTCAAAGGTGAAGGTTAAATTTTGTATCTTTTCCTTGATGAACATTTTGTTATGACATTATGAAGCAATGTTGTTCAGAACTTAACACAGAGTCAACTGACCTTAGGTCCAGGTTATGGGTTTCAAAGGGTCAAGGTCAAGTTTTGTATCTTTTCCTTGATGAACATTTTGTTATGATATTAAGGAGCAAAGTTGGTCGGAACTTAACACAGAGTCAACTGACCTTAGGTCCAGGTTACGGGTTTCAAAGGGTCAAGGTCAAGTTTTGTATTTTCACTGATGAACATTTTGTTATGATATAAAGGAGCAAAGTTGGTCCGAATTAAAGAATAAGTCAACTGACCAAAGATCAGGGTCACTAGGTTAATGGTCAAAGTCATTTGGGTCCAAAGGTCAAAGACAAAGTGGATCTTTGACTTTGACCCTGGCTCTTGATGGAGGAGGAGGTATATAAGGTTAAATAAATCAAAGCTAACAAATGAGTATTGCACCGGTATTTACATTTCTGTTAGCCCAGCAAATATGAAGGTGGAAGGAAACAAGACTCACATCATAGTACATGTAAAATGTATATTTTGCTTCCTTGCGATTCTTTTTGAAGTCCACATATCAAATGTCATGCTCAGCTATATGGGCAGATTGCTTCTTGATGATTATGGGGGATATATTGCCACAAGACGGGGCCCTTACTGACCTGTCAGTGTTCTAGTTATTACAGGTACTTGGTCCATCAGACCTAGTAATTATTCTAGTTATAACAGGTACTTGGTCCATCAGACCTAGTAACTATTCTAATATTTACAGGTACTTGGTCCGTCAGACCTAGTAACTTTTCTAGTTATTACAGGTACTTGGTCCATCAGACCTAGTAATTATTCTAGTTATAACAGGTACTTGGTCCATCAGACCTAGTAACTATTCTTGTTTTTAGGTCACCTGAGACAAAGTCTCAAGTGACCTATTGCGATCGCCTTTTGTCCGTCGTCGTCCGTCGTCCGTCGTCCGTCGTGCGTCCGTAAACAATTTACATTTTCGACTTCTTCTCCAAAACCCCTGAACCAATTTCAATGAAATTTTGCAGGGACCTTCCATGGACAAAGGTCAACAAAAAT